ATTAAGGAAAGAAGTTAAGTTAGTTACTTGTAATAAATAGGTGTTATCTTTCTTAAAATATCCTTACTAATCAAGTGTATTAGCAAGAATTACTATTATTAAAAGGACTATATTGAAAAAAATACATAAATATAAGGAACAAAATAGATTGGGATATTATATTTAAGACAAAAATAAAAGTTAAACAAGATTTTATAGTACTTTTTAATGTGCATGGCGAAATTAAATAAAGAAATGAGTCATACGAGCCATTAAAGACTCGAAAGTGATTTTTTTTTTAATTTTCTAAAGTCTTAATTTTTTTTTTTAAAAAAAGAAATCTCCCAGCATGTTATTCAATGCGGTGGTTTGGTTTCGCGTTCAAAAATTACTTTTGCATTTTACAAGATAAAATCATTCTTATATATGCATCTGTACATCACAATATTTTTTGTGTTATTGATTAAAAAAATTAACTTTTTTCCGAACACAAAAATGATACAAATATAATTGATTTTATAAATCGAAGAAAACGGAATAGAATATTTCTTATATTAATTAAACAAGAATAACATGACATCAAACTTTTTTCCCCAAGAGTCCGAATCAAGAATATTGCGAATATATTGCAAATGTAGCCTTATCAAAGTCAAAGTTATACTTATTTCGCCCCTTGAAGTGAAGTATTGGATATTTACGCCCTTTAAAATGATTACGAAATATAATTTCTTATAAAAAATAAACAACTTTATTTGTTTTTTGGTTATCAAACAACTTTACTTAACGGCCTTAGGAATTTGGAAAGATCGTTATAAAATTTCAAGAAAAAAATGTAATTATAAAAAAAATGTTATTATCATTTCTTATTCTAAAATTTGTTAGTGTAAGATGCTCGCTCATTATGGAATTTTTTAATGATTATCTTAAAGTTTTTTTCAATGAACTTCTCCTAATAAAGAAAAATAAAATGATTGACGGCGTTTGACTTTCTGTTTCATTAGTTTAGTAGTTTATGCTTCGTGGGTTCCCTTCATCCTCATGCACTGTGACATAATCTATTGAACTGTGTTCCATTTATTTTTAAGATATGGGATCAAAAATATAAAAATCAACTTTTCCAAGTCGTACCATATAAATATTGTAATCTATAATTACAGCTTACAACTGCTAAGTCTGCGAGTCTGTCCCACAACATAAATATTCTATTTTTTAAACCATTTTTTAATATCAAATGGCTGTTTTGTTTCGTAACCTTTTTATATCGATTTGATTCGCATTTCATGTTGTTTCAATGTTTATTTTATTAATAAAAAAATCATATCATATCTCCGAATCTGAAAAAAATAAATAAATAAATAAATAAATGAAGACGGTTCTTCCACATTTAACGTTTTTTAATCATTCTTGTTCTTAACATCATGATCTAATGTTATTTTTGTTATTCATCATCCCATTTTTAATACAAGCAATTGTCTCCGGGCATAAAAACAAATACCTAAAATCTGAAATAAATTCAAACTACTCCTCATCCTTTGAGTTAAACTCATACTCCTCTAATTCTATTTATAGAGCAGAGAGATAAGGCTTTTCTTGGTCTTATTTATAAAATATTGAGAGATTTTTTTTGTATGAATGTACAATTTTATCTTTCATTTAATTACTGTGTTGACTTTGTTTATATAAAATATAATATATATTAAATAAGGATAAAATTAAAAAGTTATTTAATTTTAAATGAAAAGTAATAAAGTTTAAAATTTTTTTTAATCTACGTAAAACATGTTAAGAGTGACTTTTATATATATATAAAAGACAAATAACCTATAACATTTAGGTTACATGACAGCAATCAGCAATCTTGCTGTCACTCCTCACCTTCTGTCTAAATTTTTTAATTGAAAAATAAAAGCATTCAATGCATTAGGCGCCACTCTCAAATACTCTTTTCATTACATTTATAAGTTATTTTTAATATATTTTATACAAATTTAAAAAAATCTTAAACTTTATTAATTCTGATTTTAATTTTATTTCTATTTAATTTATATTACTTCTAATAAAAACAAAATCAACACAATAATAAATAAATAGCAAAATTGTATATTGATGTAAAAAATTTCTTTTTCTGTTCTCTAAATAGGACTAAAATTTTCTTTCTCCAGTAGCATAAAAAGAGTATAGCCAATATAATTAATGATAGTTAGATTTAATGACGTAACAAATCAAATTTTAAATCCATGGATTTATGGTAATATTTTAAATACGATGGTCCATTTGCCTCCAATAAAAAAGTATGCTAACAGGAGGAAAAAAAAGGTGTGGCTGATGTAGCGCATAATGCGATGAGATGCTGCATTGAACAGTTGCTTTGAGTATCACAATCACTCATGGTAAAAAAAAAAAAAAAAAGAGTATCACAATTCACAATCACTAGTTATTTATTATTTATTTATTTTTCTTAAAATGCGTTTATTTTTTTATTCTATCATAAGAATCACAGGCCACGAGGCCTACACCAATCCCAAAAAAAAAATCACGATGATTGACCTGTCACTTTTAATATTGACAGACAAGAAACTTAAAAGACTTGAACATTAGTTTCTTCAACAATGAAAAACGAACATAATTCTTATTGCTTTTTTCAAATTAAAAAAATGCAGCACAATAAGCTCTCATTCCATAAAATAGAAGCATCTGAAAAAAAAAAATTATATAAAATACACAAACAAAAAAATAAAAAAGAATGATCAAATATCAATGATTCAATGCCACAAGATCTTCTGGAATGGTAATTAGAACGAGTGAAACTTCAACTTGACTGTGATGTGGACATTTTTTCAAATCTATAAATTTTACCATATCTCTTGACAACTTCATGGGAGAACTATAATTTATTATCAAAATGAAGATCTTCCACACAGGAGGTTAGAATTTTCTGACGAGGGAGTCAAATTTCTAACTCATACAAGATTCTGAATAGAAAATGAGTGTTTGAGTGAAAACCAAATCACAGTTTTATACATGATTTTGAATATACAAAATAAATATATAAGAAAAATTTTGTCTCGATTTGCATAAAAATACTTCTTTAAAAAACCAAACACCCTCTTAATTGATCTTGTAGTAAAATACCAAATATATGGTAAAAGAGTTTCGCAAAGTGATTATTTAATAGCGATCACTAATTTTATCAAATAAATTTTTTCTGGGAAAAGTGAATCAGGTTGCTTGACCTCTAAAATTGGATATATTACAATTGTTTTTTTGTTTTTTTACACTTTAAATAAAATTTAAAATAGTCATTCCAATAAATCAAGGGAAAACCATATTGGAGGTACTTGTATTTTTTGTAAATTTTCAATTTGGTACCTATGTGTTTTTTGTTCTTAACTAAATCTTTAATTTTGCTCAATTAATATCATTAATCCTTATATAGAGACTAAAAATACCAATAGAACAAAGTTATAAGAGTTAATGTTGTTAAAAAAAATAAAATTAAATGTTTAATCAAGAGAAAAAACACATAGGTACCAAATTAAAAATTGAGAGAAAGTTGAGGTACCTATGATATGGTTTTCCCATAAATCAATGAAGACATCGTATAGCCTGCGAAAACGTGCACTATAATGGTTAATTCATTAAAAAATGCTAAGCCACTTTAAGAATGCATTATAAAGAAGCCTTCTGAAATGCTTTGACGATGACATGAATACTTGTGATTCACATTTCCTATTAAGCCACGTCGTTTTTACCTTCAACTATTTAAAAATAAAAATAATTTTTTATGCAAATTTTTTATTATGCACGTAATCAATAAAAACTTTGTCATACGATACAAGTTATTAAATTTTTCTTTTTATACTACTCTGGGTTGAAAAGGAGTATTTATTAATGGGGTCACTTATCAAAAGTCACCAACCAATCATACTAGAAAAGGATTTTCCGAAAAGTAATGTATTTTTAACATATTTCTTAATTCAAAGCTATATTTTTTAATCCTTAACAATTAATTACTTATTCTCATATGAAAGGGCGTGAAAAGGGCCTCAGGGAACAATGTAAAGTTAAAGACACCATATGCAAGTACCTGACGGTAATAATTACATATAATTGCTCAATTTGTTAATCACTATGTTTGGATTTAGTAGTAATAGTAATAGTAATAAATTGGCAAAAAAGGCATTGTCGATAACAATGATTGCATTTTGTCAAAAAATTACTCTTTTTTTCCAACCAAAAAAATTAATCTTTTATGAATACAGCTAATTGACGTTAATATATTACTACCTCCAGTCCTAATTATAAGAGTTAGTTAACTAATTTGAGAAGATTAAGAAAGTAAGTTGAATTAGTTATTTGTCATAAATAGGTGTTGTCTTTTTTAAAATATCCTTACTAATCAAGTGTATTGGTTAAAACTACCATTGTTAGAAAAATTACTTTAGAAAAAAAGTATAAATATGAAAGACAAAATGGATTGAGATCTTATATTTAGGATCAAAATAAAAGTTAAATAAGGTCTTATATTAAGAATCGGAAGCAGTATTTTCTGAAAATATTGATGTAATAGTGACATTTTAAACTTGTACAATCATCACTAAAAATTGATGGCAAATAAAAAAATCATCATTAAAAATTTTCTTTTTGAAAATAATAAAAGTTACTGCACAAAATTCTTGGAATAAAATAATCCATCCACAATGTGTTTAAGACCGTGACCTCCATATATTATATATATGTGTATATATGTGTGTATATATGTATATATGTATCTGTGTGTAGTAAACAAATGCTATAATATAAACTCATTTTTATAATCCCAAAAGCAATCTACACAAAAATTTTATTACCAAAGAACAGTACGTGGGCCCCATTCACGTTTTTCGCTCCCTGCTCCCACCCTATATTCCCTCCCTGTATCGGAGAGGCCTTCCGTTTCGTCCCTCTCTTTCTTCCTCGCGGTGCAGTAGCTACTTTGTCCGTTAGCTTACAGGAGAGAGCTGTGTGTTCAAGTTAAGCAGGGATTACAGCAAGAGCCAAAATTGGCTGACAATCTGAGTACGAATACCTCTATTGTGTTTTACAGTCTTCGCCTTCTCGAGAACCGACTTGAATTTGTGTTCCTCTCGAAAGTGCTGGTGCCTGGAGATGTGAGACTCAGTTGGGTTTCGTGATCCTGTGGCTCAGACTGGACCGTTTCTTCAGTGACCCCACTTTGGTATTCTCTCTTTGAGAGGTATTATAGACGATGAATGCTTTGTCGTTTCCTGTTGTGTGGCATGCGAAGCCTTGTACAAAATCGACTTCTCCTGCTTCGATTGCATTTCTCTCTTCAAAATTTGAATTTTCTTACGTTTGAACCTTTTCAGCTCGAATTAGGTTCTCTTCTGCCTATCTTGCTTTGCTTAATAGAGCTTCAAGCTTATTTCAGAGATGGCATGGTTACAATTTTGTAAATAGAATGACTCAGTTTGATGATATTCGGTTTTGGCTACCTTTCCAGATTCTGAGTTTGGATCTGTAGTTCGAGTAGCTTGTGTCTTCCAAGAGAGGCTAGAGTATGAGACTATCGTGCTAATACTCGAGCTGAGGAAAGGGGATAAGAGGCAGGGGAACTTCTACTGATTAGAACTTTGAACTAATCGAAGAAATATCTAAATGGCTTCCATAGAGAGCGATGGGGACAGTGATAACAAAGGTAGCATGTGGGTTTTGGATCAGAAGATTGACCAGCCTATGGATGAAGAGGCAGGAAGGCTCAGAAATATGTACAGGGAAAAAGTATGTTGCAACTCGCTTTAACTATTCCCCCCCCCCTTTCTCTCGTCCACTTGCACAAAATTCAAATATCCAATGGAGGGAACCGCCAAATGTTACTCAATAATGGGCTGCTTACTAGAACACACAAGTAAATGGTGGTAAACTGGTAATAATCGTTTATTAATAGTACAATATATTTAAGGAATGTAGCATGTATACAAGTGTAATCAATGTAGCTCTCCCTACTATCTTTTTCCGGGTTGGTTATCAATTCTCCTTCAATTAGATGTTGGATTTTGGCTTGAACTCCTAGTTATTCATTGGTATGCTATTCAAATTAACTAGGTTTATTACAAGAGATACACTGCAGCAATATATATGTTCTGTGGTCAATAATTTCAAAGTTAAATATGATTTATGGATGTGAATTTGGACGCTACATGAGCAGTCAAGTGAGTGATTGAAAAGTAAATTTTATTTTAGATCTTCTAATTAAATTGTAGTGATCCAAAAGAAAAATATTTGGTCATTTACAGGTATACGAGTTATAATTCCTTGCTGATGTTTTGATTTGTTCAGAAATTTTCTGCACTATTACTTCTGCGGCTTGCGTATCAGAGTCTTGGTGTGGTTTATGGAGATTTGGGTACTTCCCCTCTGTATGTTTTCTACAATACGTTCCCTCAAGGAATTGACGATCAAGAGGACATTATTGGGGCTCTTTCTTTGATTATATACTCTCTCACTCTGGTGCCACTCCTCAAATATGTTTTTGTTGTATTGAGAGCAAATGACAATGGCCAAGGTATAGTGTTTTTTTAATTTTGAAGCTCTTTTATTGATTGTATGTTCTCTCACTCTGGAACATAATCTTTCATTGATTAAGAGCAAAATGATGGTAGCGAAAATATGGACAGTTTTATTGATTTGGTCTTAAGGTATTTAAGCTGGATTAGGACGTGTTTAGCATTGCATTTAGAGTTGCTGCAACAATAAGGTCTAGTTCAAATCATAGTCAATGCCATCAGGACTTCTGCAGCCCAGGTTCTGCAGAAGTAAACTATCTCATCTTTCATAATAATGTTTGACTGATTTAATTATTAAAATATATAGATATCTTAATTTTAAAACTTGTACTTCTTGCTTAGTTTAGTAAGGAAGGATACCTAAGGATCTTTAAAGTTACTTCTGTCAAAAGGACCAGTCTAGATCCCAGCAATTATTGTTTCTAAACCCTCTCTAGTACCTTGAGGTGATTGTGTTTTAGATTTATTTATCTGTTCAGCGCTGCTGTGCTGCAATTGAGTTTTTCAAACTGATACACTTGTGGTGCAGGTGGTACTTTTGCACTTTATTCCTTGCTTTGTCGGCATGCTAAAATAAAAACAATTCCTAATCACATCGTACTGATGAGGAGCTAACAACATATAGTCATTCTACCTTCCATGAAAGGTCATTTGCTGCAAAAACTAAAAGATGGTTAGAGGAAATGCATTTAAGAAGAATGTCATTCTTGTTCTTGTCCTTGTTGGCACCTGCATGGTGATTGGAGATGGTATACTTACCCCTGCTATATCAGGTATCTTTTCCATCTTATTCTGATCTTCTTGTTCCCATTTATCCTTTTTTCTTTAACTGTCAACATACTTGCTAGATTTGTTTTTGTATATAATGAACGTGCAGCTTCACCACACTGAAATAAAATAAATCTTGGAAAGAGAGAAGTGGCACGCCCAGGCTTATAATTAAAATTATTCTGATGTTGAATTACTTTATAGATTATGTGGAACTAGTTGAAATGGTAACGCAAACTGATTCAGTGTTGGAGCTGAAAGGGACCAAAACAGATGGTCTTAATACATCCCTATTTAAATATTTTTTTTCCTTTTGGCGTATTTATTCCTGGTTTTTTTTTGGAGGGGGATATGGTTTTTTATTATGCAAAGACCATTCTTTTCTTTTCTCTGGATGCCTCACCTATTCCCATGACCATTGCCCTGTGGTTGCCAAATAAAATTACAGATACTCTTATATTTCTCCCCTACATTTGGTGCTTTGCTCTTAATAATCTATTCCATTGGCCACTATATGATAGAGGAAAAAAATGTCACTGATGTTAACATCTTGTGTATTGTTGGAATCTAATCAAAAATACTTAGAATTGCTCTCTCAAATATATATATTTCACTCAAAACCTGTAATGCTGCAGTAATTTGTGACTACGGAATTTTAAGTCTCTGTTTGATTTGCTGTTATATTTTATTAGCTTGTTTTCATTGTGATGAGATGTGTGATCTGGTTCTGAAATTAAGTGTGGTGCGCGCGCGTGTGTATGTATAAG